ACGGGATCTGCAGGGGGACAATGGGCCCCTTTGTTGCTTCCGCCAGGGCCACTCCAAGAATAGCTGTTTGCTCAGCTCAGAGCAGGGTTGGTGCTGGGGAATAGGAGGGTGTGGGGCCCTGGGGCTGCGATGTGGGCTGGGCATTAACCCTCTGGCGCCTCTGAGGCCTCCTTCGGTTTCTCACTGGCCCAGAGGAATGAAGGCGGGCAGGAAGCATCACTTACAGTAACTGAGTCAGGGTGCTAAGAGATGATCTTGTAAAACATCTTTTCCTAAACAGAACTGTGTGCAGAAGCTCAATATATAGGACCATTGCTTTAAAATATATACCTTTCTAGGGCCGGGCATGGTGGCTCATGCCGGTAATCCCAGCACTTTCGGAGGCCCGGGCGGGCAGATCACTTGAGATCAGAAATTCCAGACCAGCCTGGCCAACATAGTAAAACCCCATCTCTACTAAAAATACAAAAATTAACCAGACATGGTGGCGCACGCCTGTAGCATCCACTACCTGGGAGACTGAGGTGGAAGAATCACTTGAACCCAGGAGGCAGAGTGAACCGAGATTGCACCACTGCACATCAACCCGGGTGACGGAGCAAGACTCTGTCTCAATTTAAGAAAATAAATAAAAGTAGTAGTGGCTCTGGTTAAGGTGGGGGGAGCGAGGGGGGCAGGAATCCATTAGAGATATCCAAAGCTTGCTTGCCTTTTTTTGTGTGTGTTTTTTTTTTTTTTTTTTTTTTGAGACAAAGTTTTACTCTGTCGCCCAGGCTAGGATGCAGTGGTGTGATCTCAACTCACTGCAACCTCCGCCTCCTGGGTTCAAGTGATTCTCCTACCTCAGCCTCCTGAGTAGCTGGGGCTGCAGGCACACACCACTACACTTGGCTAATTTTTAGATTTTTTTAAAACAGAGACAGGTTTCCCCATGTTGGCCAGGCTGGTCTTGAACTCCTGAACTCAAGTGACCCATCTGCCTCAGCCTCCCAAAGGGCTGGGATTATAGGCAGGAGCCACCACACCCAGCCATCCCCAGCTTTCTAGAGCCTTCCTCCTCACCCCTTTGCCTCTCTTCTGCACTCTCCGGACTCAGCCACCTCTGCTCTGGTTCAATCCTCTCACTTAACACTTGATGAAACTGAAAGAGGGAAAGTCCCTGACCCAAGGCCACCCAGCACATTGACGGGCAAAGCAGAGACTTGCAGGAGAGAAATGCTTCCCAGACCGAAGCCACAGTTTCCCAGACTCTCACGGCTTTTGCCAAAACCATCTTCAACCTGTCGCACTATTAACACTTTTCTTTAATCCAGCTCACATTTCTCTTAGTAATTTTATTTTAAACAGAGATTTTATGGCATTACCATAAGTGGCAAGGCTTTATCAGTCACCATAAAAAGATACTGCATTTGATAAACACATAAGTCTTCTAGATTGTTCCTCCCTGTGCCACCTAAAGCACCTGAGGTGGGTACTCACCCCTCTCCTTGGGAATGGCTCGCCTTCAGTCCCACTCACCTCTGCCCTCTTTGCTGGGCGTATGATGGACCAAGCTCCGGACTAGGCTCTGAATGAGGATGAGAGAGGCCAGACCATGCCCTCAGGGGGCTTATAACCCAAAGGAGAGCAGGTACCACGTGGCAACTCAGCAAAACATGGCCCCAGCCCTAGGATGGGTAAGAGACAAGTACTATGGGCAGGAAGACAGCAGTCCTCCTGAGGTGTAGGGGCTAACACATAGACACTCAGAAGGTGCAGACCCCCTCACATCAGGGGCAAAACTGGGTTAAAACTCAGGTCCTCTGCACATGCACCCTCAGTCCAGGGCTTTTGTCCAGACTCTGCACCCCTCTTAATGATGGACATGGCCGCTTACGCCTATAATCCCAGCACTTTGGAAGGCCTAAGGCAGGTGGATCACTTGAGGTCAGGAGTTCGAAACCAGCCTGGCCAACATGGTGAAACCCCAACTCTGCTAAAAATATAAAAATTAGCCGAGTGTGGTAGCGGGCACCTGTACTCCCAGCTACTCAGGAGGCTAAGGTAGGAGAATCACTTGATCCCGAGAAGCAGAGATTGCAATGAGCTGAGGTGATGCCACTGCACTCCAGCCTGAGCGAGAGAGCAAAACGACTCCTCAAAAAAAAAAAAAAAAAAAAAAGAGGGATGTGGACAGTGGACAGTAGGCCATGGCCAGGAAGTTTCCAGTCTCACATCAGCCCCGTGTCCCTGGGCGGTGAAGTTTGGAAGGGAGCAGGACAAGAACCAGAGCATCCCTGGGGTGTCTTCACTGAGCTCCTCTCCCAGCACTGGGCACAGGCGGCCGAGCCCATCCCCACTCTCCTGCCACAGCCCAAGATCAGTAGTCTTTGCCCGTAGCCCCTGAAGTCTGTGGCCTGGGTCAGAGAGACGCTGCCGACAGCCTCTACAGACTCACGCTCCCCGCCTTGGCCAGCCCAGAGCTCTGAGCAGTGGACCCCAGTGCTGAATGTCTGGACCAAAGGTTCTCCAAGTGTGGTATTGGGACCCGCAGCATCAGCAGTTCCTGGAAGCAAGTTAGACATGCAGATTCTTGGGCCCTACCCCAGACCTCCTGAATCGGACACTCTGAGGTGGGGCCCCGTAGTTTTGACAAGCCCCCAGGTGCCGCCGCTGCCGCTGCTTCTGCACTTTAATAGCCACTGGCCTACACGTGTCATTCAGCCCTGGCCGCTGTTTCCATCTTCCGCTGCCCCAGCACCCTCAGCCTCTGCCGTTCCCACCAGCCTCCCCAGAGATGGAATCCACAAATCTACAGCCTTAAAGAAAAACACCCTGTAGATTTAAACCGCGCCCCCGATGATTCTGACGCATACCATAGTTAAGAATCCTGGAACCCAAGAGCTCCAGGCCTCCAAAATAGCAGCTGTGCCTTTGAGACAGGCTTACACGTATGTCTTAGTCACAAATCCCACGAGAATCGCACCTAAGTCCCTCTGAGCCCTCATGGGCCTTCAGACCAGTGGCTGGATTTAGCAAAGCCGCCAGCCCTAGGCACCTTCCTCCCTTAGTCCCCTGTCCTTCCTGTCACCTCTCCTTAAGCCAACAACAAAACACCATGGACAGGGTGTCTTAAAAAGAAATGCATCTTCTCACAGTTCTGGAAGCTGGAAGTCTGAGATAAAGGGAGTGGCATGGTGGGGTTCTGGTGACGTCTTTCTTTCTGGCTTGCAGATGGCCACCTTGTCACTGTGTCCTCACATGGTCTTTCCTCAGTGCACAGAGAGAGATCTCTCTCTAGCCACCTGTCTCTCCCTCTCTTGCTCCTCCTCCCCCTCCTCTCTTGTCTTTCTTCTCCTGTTTGATTAGAAGCCTGCCCTTGGCGGGGCACAGTGGTTCACGCCTGTAATCCCAGCACTTTGGGAGGCTGAGGTGGGTGGGTCACCTGAGGTCAGTTCAAAACCAGCCTGGCCAACATGGTGAAACCCTGTCTCTACTAAAAATACAAAAATTAGCTGGGTGTGGTGGCATGCCCCTGTAATCCCAGCTACTCAGGATGCTGAGGTAAGAGAATCACTTGAACCCAGAAGGCGGAGGTTGTAGTGAGCTGAGATGGTGCCACTGCACTCCAGCCTGGGAGACAGAACGAGACTCCATCCCAAAAAAAAAGAAGCCTGCCTTTATGACCTCATCTAATCTCAGGCCAGGTGCGGTGGCTCACGCTTGTAATCCCAGCACTGTGGGAGGCTGAGGCAGCTGGATCACAAGGTCAGGAGATCAAGACCATCCTGGCCAACATATTGAAATCCCCTCTCTACTAAAAATACAAAAACTCGCTGGGTGTGGTGGCGCATACCTGTAATCCCAGCTACTCAGGAGCCTGGGGCAGGAGAATCCCTTGAACTAGGGAGTCAGAGGTTGCAGCCTGCCGAGATCATGCTACTGCACTCCAGCCTGGTGACAGAGCAACTCTCTCAAAAAGAAAAAAAAGGGAGCTCTACCTCCAAATACCATGACACTGAGGGTGAAGGCTTCAACATGCTAATTTGGGGAGACACAAACCTTCAGTCCACAGCAGCAGACACAAATCTTCAGTCCACAGATCACACCAATCTGTTCTGCTCTGAAATCTTGATGGCTTTTTAAGAATTCTGAAAGTATTTCCCTTGCAAAGGAAAACCACTTCTGAACCTCAAAAAGTGACTCAGAAGGTGAGAGATGTCAGAGCACCAAGAAAGCTGTGGCAGGAAAGAAGGGATCTTTATGACAAGAGACACCCCACCTTTGCCCCATTAGGACCCGGGCTCCAGGCTCCATCTCTGTGAGGACTCAACACTTGACTCAGCGACCCTGGGCAGGGAGACAGGGTTCCAGGCCCAGCTGTGCCAGCGGAGCAGATTCATTCCTGCCTGAGCCTCCATCTTCCACCTTCGCAGGACCCTGTGGCTCCCAAAACTGTCCGCCCATCAGAGGCACTAGGAAGCTTGTTAAGAATTCAGATCCCCAAGCCTCACCCTCGAACATTCAGACTCAGGAGGTACGAGATTGGCCCAAGAGATTCCATGTTCAACACATGTCCTCCCTCACAGCCAGGTGACTGCAATGCAGCCGGTTCCTTTGGGGTCTCCCAGACCAGATAACCTGGGAGGGCTATTGCAGCCTTGCCCCTCCAGAATATTTTTAAAAAAGAAGAGACAGGGACTTGCTCTGTTGCTCAGGCTAGAGTGCAGTGGCACAATTATAGCTCACTGTGGCCTCAACTCCCAGGCTTAAGCAATTCTCCCACCTTAGTCTCCTGAGTAGTTGGGACCACAGTTACCCACCAGCATGCCCAGCTAATTTTTTAATTTACGTAAAGACAGGGTCTTGCTGTGTTGCCTGGGCTGGTCTCAAACTCCTGGGCTCAAGTGATTCTTGGGCTTTGACCTCCCAAAGTGCTGGGAGCAGGAGTCTCCTCTTAAAGCCCCCCATCCCACCTACCCCAGGGCTCCCCCTAACACCTCTCTTGTCTCTCCCCGCAGCGCGGCCCCAGCCGGGGCCCAAACCTTCAGCCTGAAGCACTCGGAGCGCGTGCAGGTGGAGGTGGTGCGCGATGGGGAGGCGGAGGAGGTGGCCACCAACGGCAAGCAGCGCTGGCTTCTCTCGCCCAGCACCACCCTGCGGGTCACCATGAACCAGGCCAGCACCGAGGCCAGCAGTGACAAGGTACCACAGGCTGGAAGTCCAGCCGTGCAGGAGGGCGGCAGGCTTTTCCCGTGGAAGCCGCATGTAGGCCATGTGTCATTTTCAGTTTTGCAGTAATTACATTGAAAAGGCAAAAAGAAACGAGTGAAATTAATTGTCTTTTTTTTTTTTTTTTTGAGGCTAGAGTGTAATGGCACAATCTTGGCTCACTGCAACCTCTGCCTTCCAGGTTCAAGCAAGTCTCCTGCCTCAACCTCCTGAGTAGCTGGGACTACAGGCACATACCACCATGCCCAGCTAATTCTTATATTTTCAGTAGAGACGGGGTTTCATCATGTTGGCCAGGCTGGTCTTGAACTCCTGACCTCAGGTGATCCACCCGCCTCAGCTTCCCAAAGTGCTGGCATTACAGATATGAGCCACCAAGCTTGGCCAATTGTCTTAATGTATATTACTTAACACCATCTGTCAAAATATTATTTTGATATATCATCAATATAAAAAATATTAACAATATTATTCATTTTTAAGAGACAAGATCTCACTCTGACACCCAGGCTGGAGTGCAGTGGTGTGATCATAGCTCACTGCAACCTCAAGCTACTGGGTTCAAGCAATCCTCCTGCCCTAGCCTCCTGAGTAGCTGGGACTCCAGGCACCTGCCATCATGCCCAGCTTTTTCTTTTTTTTTTTCCCAGAGACAGGGTCTCACTATATTACCCAGGCTGGTAGTTTATATTCTTTTTCATGCAAATTTAAAATTAGTGTGTGTTTTACAATTATACCACATCTCAGTTCAGAATAGCCACATTTCCAGTGCTCGGTAGCCATGTGGATGGTGCGGGGTTAGACCATGGAATGAAGGCTTCATAAAGGGGGAAAATTACAGACAGCTGAGCGATGGAAAGCATGGAGACTCTGAACCGTAGACTCATTGGAGTTTACAGTCACAAGTGTCCCTGGTCTATCTGTAAAATGGGGTGCTGAACACCCATGGGTGATTTGCCCAAGTGGTGAGGCTGAGACCAGAACTGTCTCCCTGCTGGATTCTGTAATTATGAACTTTACCATGTGCTCCATCATAGTGATGGCACCAAACATGGTCCAAAGAAAATAGCCTCAGCTCTGTCCCCTCCATGGGCACTAGACATGCAGTGTGGCAGATATGAGGGCCCCGCAGGCAGCAGAATGCACACAGTGGCACAGGACGGCAGACAGCATCCTAGCTGCACTCAGCCAACAGGAGGAGAGTCTACAATCGAGTTCAGTTACCTGAGAGAAGCTGCCCACCAACCCAGGAGTGCTTCCTGGAGAAGAGGGTTCTGATGCTTGGAGAGGGTTGGCTTGACAAGCTGTGAGTTGTGAGGGAGAGCAGTTGCTTGTGGTTTTCCTGCTTGTGATCTGTGATCTCTGTTCTCCTTTCTCTCTACCCCAATGCACTCCCTCCCTACCAAGGTCACCGTCAACTACTATGATGAGGAAGGGAGCATTCCCATCGACCAGGCGGGGCTCTTCCTCACGGCCATTGGTGAGTTGGTGTGCCTTCATCTCCCTGGGCCTGGCACTTAGGCTGTTCTTAGTGTGCCAGACCTGGCACTTGGAGCTTCTTCTGAATGGTACATGACTCGGGAGGGATGTCACATGTGCCCCAGTCCTTCCATCCTGGGGTGTGAGCTTACCTGCAGGATGAGGCACTCCCTGATCCATCAGCCACTCCCCGCAATGTCAAGGTCCCCTGCCCAGGGTCTGCGAGCCCTAAAAGAGAAAAAAGGAAAATGTTTTCCTCCCCTGCCTCTCCCCTACAGCCTGGAGAAGAGCGCCCCTCTCATGGTGAGGGGAATGGCCACAGTCTATAAAACTTACGCCTGTTCTCGACAATCCCAGCTGCCCCTGGCACTCCTCAGATTCAGCCCCGAGGGTGCAGAGATGTAACCTCCAGGTCCCTAACTCACCTAGTCCAAGCCCTTCATTTGATCTACAAGGATGGTGAGGCCCAGAGAGGTTAGGGAATTCATTCAACGTTACACAGCAACTGAGCGGCAAGTTGAGTCCAGAACCCAGGATTACTCCTATCTCAGGTTCCGTCCATCGCATCGCATTGCCCTGTGTGGGGTGCCAGGCCTGCATGCCGGGGAAGAGGACCCCAGCGTGGCTCCACAGGACCCTGAGCCATGATCATCTGAACTTTCTGTCGCTCCAACCCCCTGCTACTGAGGCATTACTTTCAAAGCATTTTATTTCATTTTTAAATCACAGAATGTGAAAGCCAGGAGGACATTTCAGAGGGTCATTTTGTTCACCCAGCCTTGGTTTAACATTGACAGCGCTGCCGCAGGCAGAGGAAGGCAACTGCCGGTTATTGAGAGTCAACTGCATGTGGAGTGCTTTAAGGATAGTGAGGCGGCCTGCTCACTGCAGACCTGCTCGCTGTCTAGAGCTGTGCTGGGCACTTTGATGAGGAGGAGGAGGGGAGGATGATACACAGCTGATATTGACTGAGCACCTACAGTGTGCCAGGCTCCAGTACTCTCAGTGTTTCACCATTGCAATTTCAATCTCTTCTTTGAACGATTCCAAGGATAGACACTATTATTATCCCCATTTTATAGATGAGAAAATCAAGGCTCAGAAAAGGTAAAACAGACAAATACTTGCCTACAGCCAGAAATACTTTCCTACATCTCCGGAAAATGCTTGGGGAGATGCCAAGTCATTTCAGTTATCCCACATTCTCAGGGTGATCTCAGAACCTCCCCAAAATACAACCAGCTCCCAAGTCAGCCCCTCCCTCTCCAGCCCTGTGCTCTCACCAGCTGAAATAGACTCAGCAGCAGGGCCCTTCTCATTCTTGGCTAATTCCGAAAGGGGCTTGGTTCTTGGTCCCCTGTGCCTCTTTCTGCACCAAGGAGGTGCCCGGCCCTGGGGTAGGAGACCTCAGGATGACCTTGGTGAGGGTGGCAGAGGATAACCAAAGAGTTCTGGGCTGTGCTGAGCCCTGGCACGTGTGTGAACCCTGCATGCACACAGCACCCAGGCTGTCTCAGATGACAGGCCCTGAGGAAACCTAATCCCACCGAGACAGGGACACCTGAGGACGGGGGCAGGAAGGGCAGGGGCCTGACACCTGTCAAATGAGGGTGATCCCAGAAGGCTGACTGCACCATTAACAAGACTTCCACCAAAGCAAGACAGACTTAGGACAGACAGCAAGGTAAGGCCCGATAAGGAGGCAGGACTGGACTTTTCCTCCCCACTAGAAGACAACAAAGTTGGGCTTCCTCTAAGCTCAGCGGTACCAGCATGGCTGAGTCCCAAAAGATGCCACATATGCCCATGACAAGGGACCGAGTTCATCCTTCTGTGATCCCGAGGGTGTGCTCTCTTAATAATTATTTATTAAACTGCGACAAGTTCCAGATATTTAGATTCCATGGGCCAATCAAATGTTCCCTCTCTCCCCTCACCCCCTTAAAAATGAGAAGACTAACAACTATGATGCTTGGCAGAAAAAGAGAGAGAGAGAGAAAAAAAAAAACAAACGCATTAACAAAACAGTTTTTGGCCAGGCGCGGGGCTCATGCCTTAATCCCAGCACTTTAGGGGGCCGAGGTAGGCAGATCAGGAGATCAGGAATTTGAGACCAGCCTGGCCAACATGGTGAAACTGCGTCTCTACTTAAAATACAAAAAATTCGCCAGGCGTGGTAGCACGCGCCTGTAGTCCCAGCTACTCAGGAGGCTGAGACAGGAGAATTGCTAGAATCCGGGAGGCGGGGTTTGCAGTGAGCCAAGACTGCACCACTGCATTCCAGCCTGGTTAACAGAGCAAGACTCTGTTTCAAAAACAAAAAAACAATTTGCTATCAACTTTAACCATCATTTTAACTCCTAAAAAATAGGCAGGGCCTAATCTCAGAATAAAAGACAGTCATTCAATTGCAAAAAGAAAGCTTTATGAGAAACTAACCCCATTGAACCTCTGTTTCCTATTCCAACAGAGACCCTGGTGAAAGCTGGTTTCCCTCGGGAAGCACGTTCTGTCTGTCCCCTCTAGCCTTCTCTTTCCTCGGGCATCTGCCCCAGGAGCCCTTGAGCCCCTCATCCTGAGTAATCAATCACTCAGGGACGGTGCCGCAGAGGCAAGGACACCCCCAACATCCCAAGACGCTGGGACTGCCCTCCGGCACAAAAATACACCTGAGCCTCTCACCTTCGTCCTGTCCTGAGTCCACATTGAGGAGAAAGAGCCTTGGCCTCAGAGCAGACAGAAATAAGCCTAAGATCTTTCTCTGCCCCCTCCAGCCACTTTGTGACCTTGAGCAAGTCACATTATCCCCCTGAGCCTTGGCTTCCTCATCTACAAAATGAGCTTCACAGAGCAGCCTTGCGTGGCATTTACAAGGATTCAGTGGGATGCTGTGTGCAAAGGACCCGGTACAGAGTGGGTGCTCAGTCAATGCCCTCCCTGCTTTGCTCCCTTGTTCTCGGGGCAGCCACATTTTCTCTCTGCCTGGGTAAAGTTAAAGAAACGTATGGTCCTAGGCCAGGCGCGGTGGCTCACACCTGTAATCCCAGCACTTTGGGAGGCCGAGGCAGTAAGGGGGATCACCTGAGGTCAGGAGTTCAAGACCAGCCTGACCAACATGGAGAAACACTGTCTCTACTAAAAATACAAAAAATTAGCCAGGCGTGGTGGCACATGCCTGTAATCCCAGCTACTCGGGAGGCTGAGTCGGGAGAATTGCTTGAACCCAGAGGCGGAGGTTGCAGTGAGCCAAGATTGCGCCATTGCACTCCAGCCCGGGCAACAAGAGCAAAATTCTGTCTCATAAAAAGAAAAAAACAAAGGTATGGTCCCTCCTGTCTTCCTCCTGGGCTTTGGGAACAAATTCATGGTTCCTTTGGCCAAATCAGGCTTGGGTCTTGGTCCCAATCCTGCTGAGGACTTGCTGCGTGACCTTAACAGTAGTCACCCCCACTAGGGCTCACTGTTTGCAAACTATAAAATGAGGGGTTTGAGCTAATTAATCCCTAAGGACCTTCAAGACTCTGGTTAGGGTTGATTTGCAAAGCTTCCTTTTTTGGGGGAGGGATGGGGGAGAGGGAGGCGTGAGGTGGAGGGAGGGAGGAATAAGCCCCACCATCTGAGGTCCTGGCAGTGAAAGCAGTACACATACACAGGCCCCCAAAAATGTTAACATCAACCTAAGGGGCTCGGTCCTAGGCCTTCTCCCCAGAGCCTGGGATACTTGCCCTAGTTGGCTGTGGGGGAGGGAGCCCTTCCTTCCCACAGCACCTCAAGCTGCTTAGTAAGGCAAGAAGGCTAGGCACCCTGCCACTCCCCGGCCACCCTCCAAAATGCTTGTGCCTCTTGGTCACAGCTGAGGCCTCAGTGTCTTGATTCTCAGGGCAGACGGCCTTGAACCCAATCCTAGTGACATTTCCCGTCAATCTGCCCCACACCCAGGAGCCACCTGACACTTTGGGGCTATTCTGGGGAGCTGAGGTGGGATCCAGAGCCTCTGGGAAATGTCGTCTGGAGCCGAGGCCCTGAAGCAGTGGCCCTCTCCCTCCTCCCCCTCGGGAAGGCAGAGCCATCCTGAAAGGCAATGCTCTGGGCAGGTCACATCAGCCCAGTCCTCTGTTCCTACCCGCAGCATCCCACTGGAATCTGGTTAAATCAGACACTGGGGGAAGCCTTGCAGAGGCCAAGTCCTATGCGCATGACTACAGGGGGCGGTCTCTGGGGGTGAAGGAGCCAGAAGGTCATTTCAGTGGATTAGGGGACAGGTCATGGGTCATAAGAGAGGAATTATGAGGCTTACTCTTGTAATCCCAGCCCTTTGGAAGGCCGAGGCGGGTGGATTACCTAAGGTTGGGAGTTTGAGACCAGCCTGACCAACATGGAAAAACTAAAAATACAAAAAAATAGCTGGGTGTGATGGCGCACACCTGTAATCCCAGCTACTCAGGAGTTTGAGGCAGGAGAATTGCTTGAATCTAGAGGCAGAGGTTGCAGTGAGCCGAGATTACGCCATTGCGCTCCAGCCTGGGCAACAAGAGCGTAACTCTGGCTCAAAAAAAAAAAAGCTAAGAGAGGTGAAGCCCTGTGCAAGGTTGGGAGGAGGACGATAAGGAAGCCATACTGCGAATTGCCCACATTTCGTAACAGGAAGGTAATGAAACCTGTCTGAATTCAATAAATCAGGAAATCATGATGAGCATGATTATTTAGTATTTAGGGAGGTTGCCTTAGGCAGCCGAGGAGAAGAGCTGGACAGGGAGCAGCCGTCTTTCTTTAGAAGCAGTGTGTTACTATTTGATTTGATTTGATTCACACTATGTCCAAATATGACATGAATCAAATGTTTAAATTTAAGAATTTGCCATGGAAAAAGCAGTATGGAGTGCACCATAGCTTCTCTTCCAGCCCCTGGCCCACTGCTTTCATGAATCCACCACGAGGCGTCTCCATGTCATGTCACCTTGCAGCCTCGAGACAAGGGCTGCCAGGGTGGGGATGTGGGCACGTCCTCTGGGAATGACCTTTAAGGGAGCAAGTCTTGGGTCTCTGACTTTGGGCCGGGCTTTTGGAAACAGCCTGGTGGGAGGTCAGCCTGGGTTCATTGCAGGGAACAGTGGAGAGCAGGCATCCACAGCCCAAGCCTGGCTCTGTGCTCTCTAGGAACTTCAATGGTCACTCCCTGCTGGGGGCCTGGGTTTCCTCATCTGCAGCGTTAGGGGGTGGAGGTGATCGCTCCTTCGCTGGGGTGGCCAAGAGAACATGCCATGGCGAACACTGTGCAGCTGCAGAGCAAGATGCCCACAGGGGAGAGCTTGTCATCTTGAACAGGGCAGAGCGGCTCCCTAAAGAGGCCGGGCCCAGCTCCTTCCCAGGGAGGAGTTTCAGGCGGCCGAGCTCCCTGAAAGGCAGCATTCAGCGGGCGTGACCAGCTGGAAAGTTCACAAAGGTCTGAGAGCCAAAACCAATATTATTCCTGCCTGGCGCCTCAGCCTCTTTAACAGCCCCTCGTGCTACTGCCTTCCCTTCTGTCCCTTGGGGTCCTTATCCTGCACTGGTCTCCCAGATGACCAGCCAGATTTGCCGACAGGTGACTTCTCTGAGCCTGAGTTTGCTGCCCTATGAAATGGGAGTATTTCAGGAATGCTGTGCCTGTAAGTTTTCCGCATATGAGCTATGAATCAGACCAACCGCACTGTGTACCCCAGTTCCGCTAGTGTCCCTCTGTGACCTTGGGCATGGGACTTTACCTCTGAACTGAGGCTCCCAGGTCTGTTCAGCGAGGATCGTTCCCCAAACCCCAGCCAGAACAATGAGGTGGTGGGAGGGCCCGGACCTCCCCGATGGCAGCTCTTGCTGCTGTAAGCTACGAGGTCCACGCGGCGTCTGCTGACGGTCTCCAGTGGGTAGTGGGATGTTGAGGCGAGGGGTTGCATAAGATGACGTCAGCAAGGTCCTCCCTTTCCCGTGACCAAAGGAATGGCTGAGACACACCCTCATCCCACAGATCTTCCTCATGCCCCTACCCCACCCTGGCCGGCAGGCTCAGCAACTCATCCATGTCTCTTTTCCCCAGAGATCTCCCTGGATGTGGATGCAGACCGGGATGGTGTGGTGGAGAAGAACAACCCAAAGAAGGTACCTAGCTATCAGGGAAGTCACCACCCTGAACCCGGGGATCCCGCAGGCAGCCATGGTTCTCCCATCAAGCAGGCAATTCCCATTTCACAGCTCAGGAGACTGAGGCCCAAGACAGGCTCCAAGACACACAGCATACCAGTAATGGAACCCACAGAGGATCCCAGGCTCCTTATAGAGACGGCTACAGAGCAGGCTCCTGAGTCTCTGTTTCCCCATCCCATGATGGGGACGCCCAGTTCATGGTACTGTTAGAAAGGATAAATATACCCACTACTCGCTACAGAAGAAGCACTGCAAAGGCGTTTGCTCTTCCTATTTTGCCTTTTCTTTTAAGACTGGGGAGGTGGGGGAGACAGACCCTCAGGACAGAGGGTTGCATTCATCATTCTCAGTTCATTCTGTAAGTAGCTAACTCTTGACTGATGGCAAAAAAAAAAAAAGAAAAGAAAAGAAAAGAAAATCTCAGTTCAAGGCATAGTATTCTCTCTGCTGGTACATGCACAGTCCTTCTCTTTCTATTTATTCATTCATTCATTCGTCATTCATTCATTTGTTCCTTCGTTCATTTACTTATTTTCTTTCATCTTGCGTTCCCCCCTCCCATTCTGTTCCCCCGCAGAGGACCATTTGGATGGGCTGAATGTCTCTTTCTGCTCTGGTGTCTCTCAGGAGGCACGTGGTGTGGTTGGTGTGCGTGGATTTTTAATTTGTGCCCACAGCGTGGTGTTCTCCATCTCATTCTGATTTGGACTTTTCTCTCCGCCCAGGTTTTAGGCTCCATCAGTCTTGCTCTGTGTGCATTCAGGCTGTTGCTTCTAACTGCTTTCCTTTTTCTGCCCTTCTTATCATCTAAATTTTTGCAGTGGGCATATGTGACCTTTATAATAACACTCCGAAGCCTGGGGTAAATTTACGTAGAGGAGTGCTTTATAAAGTAAAATAAACACAGCCTGGTGAGAAGCCTGGGTCCCGGCAGCCTGCCCCTGACTCTCTGCAGGTCAAGGGAGGGTTCTCAGCCCCGTGGGGGAGCCCCCTTCTTCTAGGATCACAAGCAGGGCTTGCCTGAGACCAGGGCCAGCCCTGCACACTCATTCTCTGAGTCTGTGGCCAAGCCATATGACCGTCAACTCCACAGAGGCCTCTGAGGCCCAGCAGCCCCAGGGAGAGAGCTTCCAACCACCCCCAAGGGCCTCTGCAGTCTTGGCAAAGTCACACAATCCCCATGAGCCTGAACTTGGCTAGAATTTTTAAACCTGGGCTGGTGAAGCTTTCACATTTTCTTCACTCATCCCATAAATATTTGCTGAGCATTTTTTATGTTCCAGGAGTGGGTCAGGTCCAGGGGATGCAGAAAGAAAAGAGAAACACAGCTCTGGCCTTAAGGAGCCCACAGTCCACATTAAATATGGAGTGTGGTGGGTGGCCATGTCATTGCAATTGTCCTGAGTCCTCCCAGAAAGGATGTGTACGGTGCCAGGTGTGGACCCGGGGAACCTGTTCTGTCCTAGAGAATCAGAAAGACCTCCAGGAAGAAGAGATGGTTATGCTGTAACCAAGGAGGGGTAGAGTGGGCCAGGTGAAAAGGGGCAGGAAGGCAGCAGACGGGCCAGCTTGGGTAAAGGCCCAGGAGCTTGGTTGGGTCTTTGGGGAGCAGAAAGGCACCAGGATGGGTAGGGCAGAGTGAGGGAGGGGCAAGGTGGAGGAAATGAGATGGAGAGGAAGGCACGTTTCACCGGGCCTTGCAGGCCACAGCGAAGAATCGGGGCTCCATCCTAACTCAACCGGGAGCCCCTGTCCTGGCTTAAAGCAGGGAAGTAACACAATCTGGCCCAAGTTTGTTCTAGTAGCGCTCTGGCTGGCTGCAGTGTAGAAAGTGGAGCACCATGCAGGTCCTATCTGGAGCATTCGGAGCGTGTCTGGAAACAGCTGGGTGTCATCCATTCAGGCACCTCCTCCCGAGCTCCCCTAGGAACCTTGGGACCTGTGGTAGAATGTCTGTCTGCTTATTTCTCTGGCCAGCCTCCACCTCCCTGCCTCCACCCTTGCCAGACACCAGCCGACCCAGGCAGGAGGCCCATAAATGCCTCAGCCAGCCTCCCTATCTCTGTGCCTGTATTGAACTTGCCTTTGATGCCCATGCTGATCCTCTGTGGACATCAGTCTTGAGACTCACATTTGCCAGGTCACAGCTGCCCCAGTGGGTGGCGGCTACCCTTTACCCTCATCCTGGGGCTGTCTCTCTGGTGTCCCATGGGGTCTATACTAGGATAGAGAAGAGGGCACTGACCTTTCTTCCTGCCACTGTAGGCATCCTGGACCTGGGGCCCTGAGGGCCAGGGAGCCATCCTGCTGGTGAACTGTGACCGAGAGACACCCTGGTTGCCCAAAGAGGACTGCCGTGATGAGAAGGTCTACAGCAAGGAAGGTACCAGCAGGCCCTGCTTTTGGGGGGCAGGATGGGAGGAGTGAAAAGATTCATGCCCAGTCTTAGGCTGGACTGAGGGTGAGGTGGGTGTGGACTCAGGCCTCCTGGGGATGGTGGGCACAAATACCCACTCTTGCTCAAAGCCAAAGGCAAAACTGTAAACCTTTTTTTTTTTTTTTTTTTTTTTTTAAGATGGAGTCTCGCTCTATTGCCTGGGCTAGAGTGCAATGGCACAATCTCAGCTCACTGCAACCTCTGCCTCCCAGGTTCAAGCAATTTTCCTGTCTCAGCCTCCTGAGCAGCTGGGATTACAGGCACGTGCCATCATGCCCAGCTAATTTTTGTGTTTTTGTAGAGACAGGGTTTCACCATGTTGGCCAGGCTGGTCTCAAACTCCTGACCTCAGGTGATCTACCTGCCTTGGCCTCCCAGAGTGCTGGGATTACAGGTGTGAGCCACCACACCTGGTCTGGAACCTTTTAAGTTGCATACATGCATAGAAAATAGACCAGAAGGAAATTCCCAAAATGTTAATCATCTCCAGTGTTGGAGATGACAACTGGTTTTTATTCTCTTTTATGCTTTTCTTTTCTTTTTTTGAAACTAGGTCTTGTTGTGCTGCCCAGGCTGGAGTGCAGTGGCATGATCATAGCTCACTGCAGCCTCAACCTCCTGGGCTCAAGCCATCTTCCTGGCTTAGCCTCCTGAGTAGCCAGGATTACAGGCACATGCCACCATGCAGGCTAATTATTTTTATTTTGGGGGGGATCTTGCTATGTTGCCCAGGCTGGTGTTTGTCTCCTGGCCTTAAGCAATCCACCCAGCTCTTCCTCCCAAAGCCCTGGAATTACAGGTGTGAGCCACAGCACCCAGCCTCTTTATGCTTTTCTATAGTTTCCATAGTACACATCCATGGGGATTTTTTTCCTGATTATCAAAGTAAAAAGCATTGGAAAGCTGAGGCTCCAGCAGAATATCTCTTCATTCTCACCTCCTGCCCCTCAGATCTCAAGGACATGTCCCAGATGATCCTGCGGACCAAAGGCCCTGACCGCCTCCCCGCTGGATACGAGATTGTTCTGTACATTTCTATGTCGGACTCAGACAAAGTGGGCGTGTTCTACGTGGAGAGTGAGTGACCCCAGCCCAGCCCAGCCCTTTCTAGCCACCTACCCTCCTCCCCTTAGCAGGTGTGGCCTCCACAGGTGCAGATGCCTGGAGAAGACCTGGATTGGTCTCCGGGTGATTGTAACGTGGCAGTGCTGTTAGCAAGTGAAGTTGAAAGACTTCCTCCTCTCAAGTGTGTCTGGAGTGACATGGGTCTATGTAGAGCCCACAGGCCCTACCTCCCAACAAATCAGGGGAGGAAAGGCATCTGGGCACCTTCTTTTCCAGAGTCACGTCACCTTCAGGATACCTGAGGCAGGGCAGGCACCACCTCCAGGTATTTTCTTCCATCTCTGACTTCCGAAGACCCTTGACGATGCAGTGGGCACCTCTAAGAGTTGACCCTTTGCTCCTCTTGATGGTGACAGGTGTCCTGGGCCCCCACTGTGTAGGCCACAGGCTCCTGCCCTGGAGCTAGTCCTGGTAGCTGCCAGCTCTGTCTCACCCTTTCTGTGAACATGTGTTGAGCCCCTCAGTGCCAGGCGCTGTTCTCAGCTTTGAGATCTCTGCAGTAAACACAACAGTCACACCCTGACCTCAAGGAGCCGCCAGTCTAGCAAGAGAGACATAACCAATACCACAATTGGGGAGATGAAATAGAATAAGTGAGGAGAGTGGCAGAGCAGAGGCACCGCTAACTGGGTGCCTCTGGAAAGGCCTCTCTGAGGAGGTGACATCTGAGCTGAGACTCAAATGAACAATAAGAAGGAACCAGCCACTCATGAGCTGAGGGAAGAGTGTTCTAAGCAGAGGGAACAGCATGTGGAAAGCATGGAGGAGACCAGTTTGGAGTGTGGGAGGAGCAGGCGGAAGCCCAGAGCAGGGCATGTATTGGGAGTCAAGGTCAGGGAGACGGGCCAGGGGCCAGAGCGTGCAGACTGGATTTGGATTTTATTCTGAGTGCAATGGAATGCCATTAGCGGGTTTTAAGCAAGGGACTGTCATAATAATGACATATGTATTTAAAAAGCCACCTCAGCAAAATAGCTGGCATTGCAATTTGCCATGGTACAGGGCGGGTTGTGGGGTGGGGGTGGTTTCTGCATGCCCAGCTGCCTGGTGGGGGGCAGGATCTCTGGCCCAGCCCTGGACCCACCTCTTGATAGGCCTACTATATCCAGGGCACTCACCATGGGGTGACTGAGGACCCTGAACCCTCACCTCAGAGAGATGGCAGTGGACAGCAGCCCCTAACACCAGTCCTCCTAATCCACCCTGGGCTCCAAGCAGTGACCTCACCCAGGTTGGAATGTGCCCAGAGTCAGGCTGGCTCCCCTGCCCAAGGGGCTGGAAATGTTGATGTTTACACTGCCCAGGCCAGGGTTGTCATGGAGGATGGGGTCGCCAGCGGGAGCAGGAGGGATGCGGGCAGGACCACAGCCCTGGCCCCTTGACCTTGGTGTCGTGACATAAGACCTGTTGCAAATAATGATGTCTGGACATTATCTTGAGGTTTCTTCTTTTGCTAAAGGGAGTGAACTCTGGTCTGGTTCCACAATCTCTTCCCTCCCCGTCACTGGTCATCTGAGATGGGTCCTGAGCAGACAAGGAGAAGGGTGAACTGCACTGCGAGGGCTTTGAGAATGTCCCCGGAGCCCCTTCTCTGGGCTGCCCATCTGGTGGGGAGAAGCCATGACGAAGGCAGTGGCCACCCAGAAGAGACAGTTTCCCAAAAATGCCGACTCCTGGGTGGAAACTCTGAGCTACACACACACACACACACACACACACACACAAGCCAAGGAGGATAGATAATTGATCAGTAGCACAGTCTCCTTTTCTTCCATGCAAACATGTTGGAGTTTTGTCAAATTCCATGTACACCTGTGGATAAGCAAATGTCAGGTGTCCTGGCAGGGTCAGACCAGGTCTCCCCAAGGGAAGGGGACTGGGATGGAGACTGAAGGAACCCTGTAGGGAGTGTTGGAGTCAGGGAGCTATTGTTCCAGGTCCAGGCAAGTGTCTTCACCAGCCCCAGCCTTGGGGTACTCATCTCTGATGTGGCATGGGAATAGAAAGAGTCCCAACTGTCCCGGGTGCCCCAGGTGGGAATCAAATGTGGAAGGTGTGTCGGGCACTGAGTGCGGTAGCTGGCCTTTGGAAAGCTCTCCAGAAATGGAATTATGGCTTTTGTTGAGATTATGATGATTGTGAGTTATAATGATTGGGGTGGACAGAGATTTCAGTGCTCCTAGGAAGACCTGGTGGCTGCTTCAGCCTCACGTTCTGCCTGGAACACCAAGCACTGGGGCCTTACCTCTTTACATGAGGATATGGTAATCCACTTTGCCCAGGACTTTTCTTGTTTTAGCACTGAGGGTCCCTCATGCCAGGACACCCCTCAGTCCGAGGGAAACCAAAACAGCCGGTCACACTATCAAGGAGTCTTGCTGGGAAGTAGAATCTTTCCAAAGTAGCTGGGAAGGTGAAGGCAAACCATACCCCGTGCTGGCCAATGCCTGGGGCAGAGAGGTCCCGGTGGTCAGCGGGCCCAGCCCAAGGCACGAGGACTACTCGAAAGAGCAGCATTGTTGGTGCTTACAGAGAGAGCTGGCCATGCTCAGCGTGAGGTCTGCGCCCAGCCGGGGATGGAAGATGGGGAAAGGAGGTTCCTGCGGACAACGGCTGAATTGTTCCAACTGAGAAAACAGTCCGCCTGGAGCTGGCCCCGACTGTCAGAAAGACGCCCAGAATAGAGACCTCTTGTAAATCACAGGCTATAGGCCACATTGGGAGGGAGAAAGCTGCCTGCAGATGGACTAGAACGTGTCTTCCACCTGTCCCACCACCCCCAGCCAGATCCCCGTTCCTACCCCAGACCTTGGCGGAGCCCCCCAGGTGCTCTGAGCCCTGGGAAAGCTTTGGCTATGAGGCTGCTGCAAGGACAAGTTGGCTTCTCAGCCTTACTCTCCCCTGAGCATCCGTTCAAGTACAGCTGGGGCCTGTGGGCGTGGGAGGGCCCGAGTGCCTAGAGGAAAAAAAAAAAATTTTTTTTTTTTTTTTTTTGAGACGAAGCTTTGCTCTTGCTGCCCAGTCTGGAGCGCAATGGCACAGTCTCTGCTCACTGCAACCTCCACCTCCCAGGTTCAAGCAATTTTCCTGCCTCAGCCTCCTGAGTAGCTGAGATTACAGGCACCTACCACCATGCCCAGCTAATTTTTGTATATTTAGTAGAGACGGGATTTCACCATGTTTACCAGGCTGGTCTTGAACTCCTGACCTCAGGTGATCCCCCTGCCTCAGCCTCCCAAAGTGCTGGGATTACAGGCATGAGCCACCACGCCCAACGGAAAATGTTTGAATTATGACTATCTATCTGAATTACTGAGTGATAGGGCCGTCGGGTGCACACTATTGTCTCTGGGTGAGCAGGACCTCACTTTCTGTTCTTTGGGACTTGCAGTATCTGAATTTTTCTACTTCATTCCTTGGATTCCTCCCTCCCAAGGGAGGATGAGTTAGGACATGGTTTCCTTGCCTTCTGTTGGGAAACTATTCAATGAAAACTCCAAAAAAAAAAAGAAAAGAAAAGAAAACTCCTTAACATCCTCGTAATACAAGTCCAAGCAGTGTTACTGATGGTTACCCATGGCTACCAAGGTTACTGAAGTTACTGAGGCTGTGACACTTGCAGTGACCCTGTAGCATGGGTATCATTATCTCCCACGAACAGATGAGTAAACTGAGGCTCAGGGATGTTAAGTGAATTCCCTGAGGTTTTAGAGCTTGTAAAGCCAGAGTAGTATTTAAAGCAAGGTCCCGCTGACGTTGTAAGTCATAACCACTCAGGGAAGCACCCTTAGTGAGATTTATAACCAGGCTCTAATTGGGCACATTGTCCCACAGGAGGAGCCATCTGAAGCCCTGGCTTCGGGGCTCATTCACTTATTTCACACATTTTAATCAAGTACCTGGTTTGTACCAGGCTATTCTGGTTACGTGTTCTAACCCTTCAGCACCTCATCATTAACCATTATCATTGTCGTTGAAAGCACTAAGCTGAGACTGATTCTGCCCTTCCAGCTCTACAGGGCATAAAGAAATTCCTTCTGGAACTGCATAGGGTCCTCTCTCCATGCCTTTACCCATGCAAGTATCTCCTCTCCCCACCACACCCATTTCTGCCGCCCCGCGAGGGCATCTCAAAGGCTGCCTTTCTCTGCTCAAATGCTTCCCATCCTGCCTCCTCTGCCCTCCCCACCCTACCCCAAGTAACCAGATGATCTCACCCATAGCTGCCGTTATGATGCTTGCCACATCTGCTCCATCTTATCAACAGCTGAGCACTGCTCTTAGACGGAGAGGCTGCATCTAGACCACCTCTGTCTCCCCAAAGGTCCTTGCCCAGGTCGTGTGCTCTCAGTCTGCCTGAAAATTCCCCCTTGGTTTCTCCCACAGGGAGTGTTGTGAAAGCCATTGGTTCTTTCAGTAGATATTTGTTAAACATGACCATGTGCCAGGCAAGCCCTGGGCCCCACTGGGCCTGTCCCTACCCTTGCACAGGTCACCCACATTTAAAAAGGCTGTGATGAGGCCGGGTGCGGTGGCTCACACCTGTAATCCCAGCACTTTGGGAGGCCGAGGCAGGAGTTCAAGCCCAGCCTGGCCAAGATGGCAACGAAACCCTGTCTCGGCTAAAAATACAAAACTTAGCCAGAAGTGGTGGCATGTACCTGTAATCCCAGCTACTTAGGAGGCTGAGGCAGGAGAATCTCTTGAACCCCAGAGGCAAGAGGTTGCAGTGAGCCAAGATCATACCACTGCACTACAGCTTGGGTGACAGAGTGAGACTCTGTCTCCAATAAATAAATAAATAATTTAAAAGGCTGTGATGGAGATGGCAGGGGGCTGTGGGAGCTCCAAACAGATCACCTGGCTTTGTCTCTGGGGTATCTGGGCTGGATTGTTGCAAGTGACACAAACCAAGGCCTGAAGGAAGAAGGGGCACAATTGTTTCAGGCAGAGGGAACAGCACAAGTCGAAGTGGGAGCTTTCAGTGGGGCAGGAGCACTGGGGGGAACTGGCTTTCCTCCCAGCCACAAAAATGGACAGCCCGTTCACTGGCCTTGGCTTCCATGATATGGAGGGGAATTCTGGGTACTAACGGGCACATTTATGTTGTGTTTTTACAAACAGAATGAGAGCTTGGGATTCAGAATTAGACTTGAATCTGAGTCCCAGCTCAGCTCAGCTATTTACTGGGTCTCTGACTTTGGATAAGTCACTCCTCCTTTCTGAGATCGGTTTCCTCATCTGTGAAATGGAAACAATTGTATCCTTCCCTGACACCACTAACTGCTCTGCTGGCAATTTCCTATGTGCTGTTCACAGAGAGCTTGCTCATTTTGTAGACGGGGAAGCCAGAGCCAGAGAGGGTGACTGTCCGACGCAGCACCACACAGCCAGCACACAGCGGTGCTCAGACAATGGCGATGACCCAGCCATGGCCATTCTGGTGGCATTTCTGCTTGTGCTTTTCTCTCTGTCTAGAGGACAAGTTACGCTGCCCTTTTGTCCCCGTCAGTGATCCCACCCCACCGGCCTCTTTCTGATGCAAGTGGGGGGTCTGACGTTGGTCCTTTTCCCTCCAGACCCGTTCTTCGGCCAACGCTATATCCACATCCTGGGCCGGCGGAAGCTCTACCACGTGGTCAAGTACACGGGTGGCTCCGCGGAGCTGCTGTTCTTCGTGGAAGGCCTCTGCTTTCCCGACGAGGGCTTCTCAGGCCTGGTCTCCATCCATGTCAGCCTGCTGGAGTACATGGCCCAGGTGAGGGCTCCAGACCTCCACCACAGGTGGCTTCCCCTGGGGGCCAGCGTGGGGCTCCTACCAGTGGGCCATTCCTAGGAGTCCACGCTGTGCTCCAACCCCTCAAAGTGCCAAGGGAGTGGGTCCAGGATAGGAGACCTTGATGCCCCCCTGCAAAGCCAGCATGTGGCTGCCAGGGTCCTCTGGGCCGTGCTCCTGGGATCAGTCTCCTTGCCACTGCTGCTCCCCACAGATTCCCTATGGGCAGTGTTTTCTGACACACTCCGCGCCTGTGCCCTGGCCTGCCCTGCTCCCTGTCTAGGTCTAAGGCCCAGAGTCCTGATGGTTAGTGCAAGGAGCCATCCGGGTGGGGTTTGCTGACCATCTACTGCACGCCCTGTACTTCCTGCCCTTGTCTGACCCCTCCTTCAATTCAACTGTGGGTTATACCAACTCTGACCACAGGCTGAACCCCAGATCCCAGCTTCAGATTATGCCCTACCCTGGGGCCAGGCATCTCAGCCAGCTTTGCTCTTGCCTTGGGGAGAAGCTGGATGAGGAGGAGAGGTCCTGTACCTCTAGAGAAGCCCCCTTACTGAGTGCGTGCTCTGCCCACGAGAACCTCTCACCACAAAACCTTTCACCCCCAGACCCTAGCCTCTCAGGCCCACCCTGTTTCACTCAGAAAAAGAGAAGGGACCTGGCTGCTCTCCCAGGCACAGGAGCCCCTCATTTTTATCCCTGGGCCACTTTGGGACAGGATACAATGGATGCTATAGAAGGGTGAGGCTGGAGCTAGCTGAGACGTATGAGAATGAGCCCTGGCAGCAGATTGCCCGGGTTCAAATCCCAGTTTAACCACCACGAGACCCTGGGCAAGTGAATTAACTCCCTGTTCATTTCCTTACTTAAGGGTCATTTGCCTTAGTTTCTCCATCTGTAAGACAGAAAGTCCAAAAGCATCTGCCGCCCGGGGTGGTTGTGAGCAGCCAAACGTGTAAAGTCCTACTTACAAAGCACCCTCAAGCTCAAGGGAAGTGGAGAAGGCAAGGTTAATGGGAGAGGGGACGGGGATGGGGCTTCTTACTGCACCCGGGCCCAGGGCAACCCTACCCCCAGGCTCTCTCAGACAGACCCCTCAGTAGGCACCCACAGAGGCTCAAAAGGCAGACCCGGGCAAGAAGGGCAGGCTGTGCAGCAGGCCCCCACTCCCGCACCTCCCCACTGAGAATGGGGTCCACTTCCTGTAGCTTTTGAAAGCCCGCCCCACAAAGGAACCCTGGAATCACACCTCACTTTCCTTCACGTTCTGGGCAAGCTGCTTGATCATTCCTTAAAACAAAACAGTCTGGCCGGGCACGGTGGCTCACACCTCCAATCCCAGCACTTTGGGAGGCCAAGGCAGGCAGATCACTTTAGGTCTGGAGTTTGAGACCAGCCTAGCCAACATGGTGAAACCCCATCTCTACTAAAAATACAAATATTAGCTGGGCATGGTGGTGAATGCCTATAATCCCAGCTACTCGGGAGGCTGAGGCAGGAGAATCGCTTGAACCCAGGAGGCAGAGGTTGCGGTGAGCTGAGATTGTACCACTGCACTCCAGCCTGGGCAACAGAGCGAGACTCCATCTCAAAAAAAAAAAAAAAAAAAAAAAGTCTGGACATAGCAAAACTGACCCAAAACAATGCTAATATGCTCACAGACAGATAAGGGCAAGATGCCCAGGGCAAAAACAGAGGAAGGCAGGGGGCTGGCTCAGCTGCTGTGTGGGCCGATTTCAGGAAGAGAAGTTTGATGGGACAAGATAGGACAATGACTAAGAGTGTGAACTCAGCAGCTAACTGCCTGGGTGTAAAGCCTGGCTCTACCACTTACCAACCATGTGACCTTGGGTGGGTGACAGCCCTGTGACTCGGTTTCCCCATCTGAAAAGTGAGGATCATGCAGTATCTACCTCCTGCGGTAGTCAGAAGGCAGAAATTAATTGGCACATGTAAAAGGACTTAGCACAGGCTAGATGCACAGTGAGTACTCAGGAAATGTATTCCTTGTCATCAGTTTCACCCGCTTTGGAAGGCAGGCGAGGAAAGCACCCTGACAAGACCTTTTGATCCCCACGCCTTGTCTCTCACACCCAGGACATTCCCCTGACGCCCATCTTCACAGACACCGTGATATTCCGGATTGCTCCGTGGATCATGACACCCAACATCCTGCCTCCCGTGTCGGTGTTTGTGTGCTGGTAAGGGGTGACCCCAGCCCGGAGAGGCAACGTGGCAGAGTTGCGAAGAGCTGGGTCAGATGGACTTGAGTCTAGTTCCCGGCCCAGTCACTTACCACTGTGTGACCTTGAACAACTCTCTTGGCCTCTCTGAAATGCCCACATCATAGAGTCACTGTGAGGATTAAATCAGATGAAGCAGGCAAAGCATTTATCCAAGGTCCAGCACACAGGGTATACTCTAAAAATAATAGCTGCCATTCTGTTCTCTTGCTTAATCCCTACCATGCAGTTGGCAACCTCTTATGAAGTGGAAATGCAGCAGAAATGCAGCTCGTCTGACTCATTCATTAAACAGACTTTTACTGAGCACCTATTAAGCACTAGGTCCACAGCAGCAAGATGAGAACCGAGAAAAAAGGTGCCTACAGTTAGATGACTGCCAACCCCAAAAGGGACCCCTGGAGTCCTCACATCCCTCCCAACTTCATGCCAGGCACAGCTCTTAATTGAAAATCTATGAAGTCCAGAGGTGTGAGGCATTGGGACAGGTGGGGGTGAGAGTTCCCCTCCTCATTTGATTTGTTCATGACCTTGACAAATGCCACATGAGTGGGTGGGTTTACTTGGCCTTTGATTCCAGTGGCCTTTCTAAAGGTGGCCGTGAGCACAGGTGTGGACTGGTCTGCCCAGCACAGTCCAGAGATACCAGCTGCTGTCACCGTCTCAGGGCGATGACTCCGGCCCCTCCTCACCCTTTCTCCTGGCCTCGCCTTCTTCCCCCAACTTCTCAGCATGAAGGATAATTACCTGTTCCTGAAAGAGGTGAAGAACCTGGTGGAGAAAACCAACTGTGAGCTGAAGGTCTGCTTCCAGTACATAAACCGAGGCGATCGCTGGATCCAGGTGAGGAGCCCGCGTCCAGGCTGGGAAGGACAAAGCCTCGGGGTCAGGCAAAGAAGAGCCGGCTTCATGTAAACCGCCTGGCACCCAGCAGCTCCACAGCTGGGGACTCTTCTTTCAGCTCATATCTGCACATGCGCACAAAGACACGAACATGCAAGGCAGTGCGCTGCAGTGCTGCTTCTTAGAGTAGCAAAAGATTGCAAAGCAGCCTAAACGTCCATCCGTGCGGACTGAGTAACAGGCTTCCCGGGAGCTCTGTGCAACCACTAAAACGGATGAAGCCAATCTCTTAATATGGATACAGGATGTGCTTCAAGTTAAGTTGTTACTTGAAGGAAAACATATTCAAGATGCTGCTTGCCGTTTGTTTGTTTTGTTTTGTTTTGTTTGAGATGGGGTCTCGCTCTGTCACCCAGGCTGGAGTGCAATGGCATGATCTTGGCTCACTGCAACCTCCACTTTCCAGGCCCAAGCAATCCTCCCACCTCAGCCTTCCAAGTAGCTAGGACTACAAATATGTACCACCACGCCTGGCTATTGCTTTTTAAAATGAGGTCTAGGTCAGGCATGGTGGCTCAAGCCTGTAATCCCAGCACTTTGGAAGGCTGAGGTGGGAGGATTTCCTGAGGCCAAGAATTCAAGACAAGTTTGGGCAACATAGCAAGACCCTGTCTCTAAACAAATTTTAAAATTAGCCTGGCATGGTAGTGCATAGCTGTAGTCCTAGCTACTCAAAGACTGAGGCAGGAGGATCACTTAAGCCCAGGAGTTTGAGGCTGCTGTGGGTCATAATCATGGCACTGCACTTCAGCCTGGACAAGAGAGGGAGACTCTGTTTCAAAACAAAAAAATGGGGCTGGGCACAGTGGCTCATGCCTGTAATCCCAGCGGTTTGGAAGGCTGAGGCAGGTGAATTGCCTGAGGTTGGGGATTCGGGACCATCCTGACCAACATGGAGAAACCCTGTCTCTACTAAAAATACAAAATTAGCCGGGCGTGGTGGCGCGTGCCTGTAATCCCAGCTACTCCAGAGGCTGAGGCAGGAGAATCGCTTGAACCCGGAGGCGGAGGTTTCTGTGAGCCAAGATTGGGCTATTACTCTCCGACCTGAGCATCAAGAGCGAAACTCCATCTCAAAAAAAAAAAAAATGGGGTTGATATCAGTAAGAAACCTGCTTATGATGTGCAAAGACTGCCTGTGGACACTTACGCTGCCATCATCAGTGAGAGGGAAGGCGGATGGGGCGCCAGGGGATGGGAACAATACAGCCGTTCTTCTCCTTTGCGCTCTTGTGTTTCTCGAGTTTTCTGCCCATGTGCACAAATTGTCCCTTGGGCTTGTCTAACAGCTCTCCTTGGTGTCCCTGCAGGATGAAATTGAGTTTGGCTATATCGAGGCCCCCCACAAAGGCTTCCCTGTGGTGCTGGACTCCCCCCGAGATGGAAACCTGAAGGATTTCCCTGTGAAGCAGCTCCTGGTAAGATGCTGAGGGCCACTTGGGGGTGGAGGATGATCCTGGCGACGCTCACAAGGCAGAGTGGTCAGGAGACCCTGGGCCACCTTCACACATTTGCCTGCAGCCCGGAGCCTCTGTTTCTCCTCTGCAAAATGGATCATTGGGGATAGCCACCTCTGAGGTCGTTTCCTGCTCTGATAACTGATGTTTTTCCAAAAACGTGGAGAGTTTTCTAGCGGGAAATGGGAACTAAGGGAAATAGGGTAAGACCTTGTTCCAGAGGCTCTGGCCCCTGCTGCTGCCCTTCCCCTCCAAACTGCAGAAAAGTGAGCTAAGTAAGTTTCAAAGAGGGAAAAACATGGTTATGCAATTGTCAAAAATCATAGTTTCAACTTCCAAGTTCATCAGGACCTGGAGGCTATGGTTTTCGGGTGTGTGTGTGTGTGTGTGTGTGTGTGCGTGTGCACGTATGTTTGGCTTTTTGTTTGTTTGTTTGTTTGTTTCTGAGATGGAATCTTCCTCTGTCGCCCAGGCTGCAGTGCAGTGGCGTGATCCTGGCTCACTGCAACCTCTATCTCCCAAGTTCAAGTGATTCTCCTGCCTCAGCCTCCCAAATAGCTGGGATTACAGGCACTCTCCACCACTCCCAGCTAATTATTATATTTTTAGTAGAGACAGGGTTTCACCACGTTGGACAGGCTGGTCTCCAACTCCTGACCTCAGGCGATCCACCCGTCTCGGCGTCCCAGAGTGCTGGGATTGCAGGCGTGAGCCACCGCGCCCAGCCATGTTTGTTTTTAAGCCACCTGACTCCTCCAATTCTGGAAGCCATTCTCACTCCCCTTTTAGGCCCTCAACAACCTAGTGTGTGAGGGCAGAAACGAAGTCAATCTTTCTTTCATCTTCATTCTTCTGCCCTGAACAGGCTGGAGGAGGTTTGAACAGGGCATGAAACAAGAGACTGGAGTAGGTCAGGGGACTTTTCCCAAGGTCACACACAGGACAGTGTCCCTGTTAGACACCAGGGCTGCCCAGAGCAGACCCTGTGCCAGGTTCACACAGACCCTGTGCCAGGTTCTGCCTCACATTCCTTGCCTAATGCCCACTTCACAAGGAGATACCACAGCCAATGGTGTCAGTGCAGAGCTTTGGAATGTCAGGTGGGCCAGGTCTTGAGTCCTGATTGCACCTCTTAGCAGCCATGCGACCTTGGGCAAGCAATTACCTTCCACCAGCCTCAGTTTTCTCACCTGTAAAATGGGGATAGAAATGGTATCAGTCTCACAGAATGTTGTGAAGATTGAAGGCATTATATAAGGCATCAGTGCCGTGGCTGATGTAATTACCATTATTAGCTGTTGTTATGGCTGTCATTCCCTGGCCCTGTCTTCAGTGAGCTTTCCCTAACACTGTGATGAGGAGAGTCAAAACCACCACTAGCAGCAGTTGCCACAGGAATGAGAAGAAAGGCCTTTCCAGGTCAGCACCTGCCTTCAGTATTCCAGGCTGGCCTGGTTCCAAGGCCCCAGGCCAGGCCTGGCTTTGTACTGCATGCCCGTACGAGGCTGTCGAGCCCCAGCACCCCGGCCTCAGCAAGCTCCCACGTTGCCAGCTGGGGCCTCAAGGTAAGAAAGCGCTAAGCTACTGCCATCCACCCCATGGGCTCAGCTGTCCCTTGAGCCTTTCAGCTGAGCCAGAATAAGCCACATCCTCCCACTCCACTGGATTTTGTCAGGCAAGCTTCAATCCAACCCCCGTGCTACCTCCCAAACAAGTCCCCTACATTCGTTCCCCAAAAGCCATGAAAGGAATCTTAGAATTCAGGGGCCGATGGGGTTATATCTTGTGCGCTAATTCCAGTTTTTTTTGGAGCTCTGAGTGAAGAAGGGTTCTGAGGGTTCCTCGGGGCTCGGTGGCAAGCCTGGCAGGTTAGGAGGGGGTTGAGAGGGCACGTGTCTTCATAGCTGCCATTTGTGCATGTATTGGTCAGCTTTACCAGGTGAGGCCGCAGTAACAAACCAAGCCAAAACCTCCATGACGGACAACAGCAAAGGCCTGTTTCTTGCTGGCCCTCCATGTTGATTGCTGCATGGTGGTCTGCCGCCCTGCTTCCTTAAGCCTTCCTCACTCTAGCGCTCAAGCTACCGGAGCAGCCCGGAGAAATGCCATTCTCCTAGCACAGGGAGAAGTCCAAGAGTTGGCAGACACATGCAGGGGCTCCTGTGGCTTCTGCTGTTAACTGGCATGCATCCCTTCTGCTCACATTTCATTGGCCACAGCAAGTCACGTGACCAAGTCTCACACTTGGTCAGGGAAGTATATTCGTTTTGCAGGAAGATGCCAGAAGTCACATGTCAATGGGTCAGGATGCAAAATTCTGTTACAGTGCGGAGGGTAGCAGATCTCTGGGATGAATAATACAAGCTGCCACCCTTCTTCAGGTTACCTAATCTGGTACTCCTTTTATAGATGGGGAAATGGGTCAGAGCACAGTGGCTCATGCTTGTAATCCCAGCACTTTGGGAGGCTGAGGCAGGCAGATCACTTGAGGTCAGGAGTTCGAGACCAGCCTGGGCAACACAGTGAAACCCTGTCTCTACTAAAAATACAAAAATGAGCCAGGTGTGGTGGTGTGTGCCTATAATCCCAGCCACTTGGGAGGCTGAGGCAGGAGATCACTTGAACTCTGCAGGCAGAGGCTGCAGTAAGCTGAGATCACACCACTGAACTCCAGCCTGGGTGACAGAGCAAGACTCCGTCTTAAAAAAAAAAAAACAGTTGGGGAAACTGAAAGTGCATAACGTACAATGTGGACTAATCCTGAAATCACCAATGTGTATCTGTGCTGGGGAAACAGAGGCACATGCAGATGCCACACACTCACACTCACACTTGCATTCACTCTTACACACTCACATTCTCACACTGCCACACTTACACCAAGATGCTCACACACACAGCCTCCCCAGGCCCAGGCCCAGGCCCCTGTTCTTTGGTAATCATAGGAAGACCATGGGCAAACCTCCTGGGTACCCACAGACCCAAACTGAAGGTCGTGAAAGAGGGTGGCTTGGGGACTGAGGGACCTGGCTGCAGAAGATTAATGCAGGTGTGTGCCCTCTGCCTAGGGCCCAGATTTTGGCTACGTGACCCGGGAGCCCCTCTTTGAGACTGTCACCAGCCTTGACTCATTTGGAAACCTGGAGGTCAGTCCCCCGGTGACCGTGAACGGCAAGACATACCCCCTCGGCCGCATCCTCATCGGGAGCAGCTTTCCTCTGTAAGAGAAGCCAGGCTGGGGCTGGGGGCTGTGGGAGTAGGGAGGTCACTGTTTCTCTTTCAGAGTGGCCTGGATTGCTCACACATGGAGCAAATGGCTGGGAGAATTATTCCCTCCCATGACTTCCTGTTAAGAGACCAACACTCTTGGAAAGAAAAATTAGCCTTTACATCTTCATGTGAATTAGGATCTAATATATAAATAAATAGACAAATGTCTTCCCCAAATGGAAAGGTGTATAATGAGATTATAAATCAGCTGGTTGGCTGGACACAGTGGCTCTCACCTATAATCCCAACACTTTGGGAGGCAGAGGTGGGTGGATCACGAGGTCAGGAGTTCGAGACCAGACTGGCCAACATGGTGAAAGCCCATCTCTACTAAAAATACAAAAATTAGCCAGGTTGTGGTGGCACGGGCCTGTAGTCTTAGCTACTCAGGATGTTGAGGCAGGAGAATCACTTGGACCTGGGAGGTGAAGGTTGCAGTGAGCCAAGATCACGCCACTGCACTCCAGCCTGGGCAACATAGAAAGACTCCATCCCGGGGGAAAAAAAGAGATTGAAGTGAGCAGAAGTTAATGCAGCAAAGAGGCATGCAGATGAGGGCGAATTTTGGAGCCCTCCTGTGCCCGAGCCCCCTCCAGCAGGCCGGGCGGGATTCCCGAGCAGAGAAGGTGGCCTCTCTTTAGTCACTGACACCCTCAAGGGCTGAAGCCCAGGCTCCCCGTCCTTCACACAGGCTGCAGCTAAAACTAACACCTACCTCTTTCCCCTTGGATCCAAACACCTTCCTGCCTGTGTCAGAGTCTCTTAGACCAGCCCAGTCTCCTTCCTGGGACTTCTCTGCTGATGCCAGTCTGGGTCAGGGGTAGATTCTAGAGACCACACTCCTCTCGCAGGCCCTCTGGCGAAGTGAGTAACCTTCTGAAACTCCTCTTCCTCCCTGCTCCAGGTCTGGTGGTCGGAGGATGACCAAGGTGGTGCGTGACTTCCTGAAGGCCCAGCAGGTGCAGGCGCCCGTGGAACTCTACTCAGACTGGCTGACCGTGGGCCACGTGGATGAGTTCATGACCTTCGTCCCCATCCCCGGCACAAAGGTGAGCTAGCCCCCGGATGCCGAAGTGAATAGGGCAGGGGCAAACCCATATCTTACCAGCCCCAGCAGAGGGTGAGAGCTAGAGGAATGGGACAGCATAGAGGAAGGAGGAAGTAGGCTAAAGCTGGTTTGCATGTTGTTGCTGTGGCAGGTAAAATTTTAACTCGCTAAATCCAAAAATAGTAGCATTTCAACATGTAATCAACCTACAAATTATTAACAAGAGATTTAAATTCTTTTCTCATACGAAATCGTCAAAATCTGGCAAGGATTTTACTCGTATTGTACATCTCAATTCAGACTAGCCACATCTCAAGTGTTCAGTAGTCACACAGGCTAGTGGCTGCTGCGTTGGCGGTAACGCTCTAGAGAGAAACAGGGTGTGTGCCTGTGGCACTGGAGAGAGGTTCTTTCATTTTCTTACGGGCACAACTTCGTAACCTGGAAATTCTCTGCAAATTACCTGGCTGCTTGGCAACTTGGAGAAGTTCTGTCCAAGGCTGCCTTTGGCTCTGAGCCTTGCCTTGGTGACATTGCTGTGGTGGAGGAAAGGTGAGAAATAGTCCTCTGAAGCAGAGACACTGTTCCATGCAGCCTTTGCCACTCAGCATGGAAGGCCCGACGCAACGTGCAGGCAAGGCACTGGGTCCTTGGCACAAAGCCTCCCCGTGCCCTTTGGGTGCCTTCCCGCTGCTGACCCTGCCCCCTGGACTGTCTCTTGCAGAAATTCCTGCTGCTCATGGCCAGCACTGCAGCCTGCTACAAGCTCTTCCGAGAGAAGCAGAAGGATGGCCACGGAGAGGCCATCATGTTCAAAGGTGAGTGGCCACAGGGCCTTGGCGGGAAGTGGCGAGCTGGAGGCCCCAGAGAGACCCTCGGGAGGATGGGGCGGATGAGCACTTCGTCCCTGAGCACCCAGCTCCACTTCCCTAGGCGTCTGGCCTGATCCGGGGTTTGTGAGGTTGCTACGGTGGGAAGCAGCTCCGGTCTCCTGTGACCCTTGCTGTGGTCAGGTAAACCGTGAGCTGCCCACAGCACCTTAGTGTCACTAGCAGTGCACAGCGGAGCTTCAGGACCTAGTGTGTACTTTAAATGGCACCAGACCCAGAGGAGGGTTAAATGCTTGAAAACCGACACATGGCTGGGTCTGGTGGCTCATGCCTACAATCCCAACACCTTGGGAGGCTGAAGCAGGAGGATTGCTTGAGGCCAGGAGTTCGAGACCAATCTGTGCAACATAGCGAGACCCCATCCCTATAATTAAAAGAAAAATTCTTTTTTGAGAAAGAGTTTCACTCTTGTTGCCCAGGCTGGAGTGCAATGGCGCAATCTCTGCTCACTACAACCTCTGCCTCCCGGATTCAAGTGATTCTCTTGCCTCAGCCTCCCAAGTAGCTATGATTACAGGCATGTGCCACCATGCCCAGCTAATTTTTTGTATTTAGTAGAGACAGGGTTTCACCATGTTGGTCAGGCTGGTCTCGAACTCCAGACCTCAGATGATCCACTCGCCTTGGCCTCCCAAAGTGCTGGGATTATAGCTGTGAGACACTGCGCCCAGCCTCCCTATAATAAAAATTTTGAAAAAGAGCCGGGCGCGGTGGCTCAAGCTTGTAATCCCAGCACTTTGGGAGGCCAAGGCGGGTGGATCACAAGGTCGAGAGATCGAGACCATCCTGGTCAACATGGTGAAACCCCGTCTCTACTATAAATACAAAAAATTAGCTGGGCATGGTGGCACGTGCTGTAATCCCAGCTACTCAGGAGGCTGAGGCAGGAGAATTGCCTCAACCCAGGAGGCGGAGGTTGCGGTGAGCCGAGATCACGCCATTGCACTCCAGCCTGGGTAACAAGAGCGAAACTCTGTCTCAAAAAAAAAAAAAATTTTGAAAAAGAAAACTGATGTGCAATCTGCATTCAAGAAGCTTGTATTTTAGAAAGAGAGATAGAGAGAAAAATAGAGACAATACAATTTAGAGACAGGAAGAAAAGTGGACTTTGGTGAGCAAAAGGCATGGTCAGACACTGTTGCTGCCAGACCAGGAGTGAGACATTATCTTCTACATTTAGACGTTCATATAATTGGGACAGACATAGATGGGGTGAGGTTTGCATTTGAATTAATCATGGAAAGAGGGAAAGATGATCGGGTGGAGACAGGCAGCCAGGTTAGAGACACCGTGCCGATTCTTCGTACTTTTTTTTTTCTTTTTCAAATTCTATTTTAGATTTAGGGGGTACCCTGCAGGTTTGTTACCTGGGTGTATTGTGTGATTTGGCATATGAATGATCCCATCACCCAATTCCAGAGCATTGTAGCCAACAGTTAGTCATTCAACTCTTTCCCTCCTCTGTCCCTCCTGACTCTAGCAGTCCCCAGTGTCTGCTGCTGCTATCCCTATGTCCAATACCTTTTTCATTGTTATAAAATATACCTACTCTAACACATTTGTCATTTTAACCATTGGTAAGGACACAGTTCCGAGACATTAAATACATCTATGATGCTGACTAACCATCAACACTCTCTATATCCATTATACATTTTTTTCTTCAGTTACTTTTGTCACTTTCAGGTTGGTATCCATAATGTATCTCATGCCTGAAAGCCTGAGTTCCTGCAGCTGAGTGATACTTACATGACTGTCCCCCAGATCCAAAGACCGTGTTCCTGCCACTGGTGTCTAAGACAGACAAGATGAATTTAACTCCACCGCCCTTTTTTAATTCCCCACCGATGGAAAGTTTGTTCTCGGACTGGCAAGCTCGAGTCTTGACTTTCCTTTCTAGTAGTAAACAAACTCTCAAAAACTATCCATAGGATATAGGGACCATTATTTTTATATAAATGGGGCAAGCAGTGGTGTGGAAACAGCTCAGACACAGGGTCTGAGAGCCCCCAGACCTCTCTTTGTGTTTTAGAAAGAGAGATAAAAAGAGACATAGATATAACACAGCTTGGGGACAGGAAGAAAAGTGGACTTGGATGGGCAAAAGGCATGGTCAGACATCGTCGCTGTCGGTCCAGGTGTGAGACATTATCTCTTGGATTTAGACATTCACATAATTGGGACAGACAGAGAGAGGATGTGCAGATGCACAGTCAGCAGGACTAGAAGCACACAGGAGACCTGGGGAGGAAGGCGAACCAGGTGATGCCAAAGAGCCACGTTCCCCGCTGGACCAGAGCCCACAACGTGTGGGGAAAACACATCCCTTTAAAAGATGTTAAAAACTGCAGACTTGCCCTCCAGAAAAATGCTTATGGGAACATGTCCCCTGACCTTGGATCAGTTTTAGAAAATCACAGACCCCTAAAGTCTTCAGTCTCTACATGGACCCACCCTTCTGAGTCCCTAAGCCTCAAAGATTACATCCAGCTTATAGCTGGGCATCTTTGTTGCTGTCCAGCTATAAATCTGAGAAGTGCAAACCCCTTAAGGCCAGGGGTTTGCCTCCCAGATGAGGCAAAAAAAAATAATAATAATAGGTTAAGAGCATAGGCTCTGGAATCAGACTCCCTGATCTGTACCCCAACTCTGCCACTTGCTAGATGTGAGACCTGGAACAAGTCACATAACTTCTCCATGCCTCAGTTTCCTCATTTCTCAGGGTAGTAATTACCCCATGGAAATGTGGGGAGGATCCATGAGTTAATTCGATATAAAGTGTTTAGAAGAGTGTCGGCCACATAGTAGGTGCTCATTGAGGGTTAGGCATTACTAATCAAGCTGGAAGCCACATAAGCCATCACGTGGTATGGGAGGTAGACACAGGCCACTCCAGGGCAGCAGCCAAGCTGAGGCAGCTCTGGAAAACAGAAGGGTGACCCCTCCGGCCATGCTGCTTCCGCCACACTCATGCTGGTCAGCTGCCCACCCTTAGATGCAAGCTCTAGGTGGGCGAACCGGGGGATATTTGTGCCACCCCCAGTCCCACTGGCCAGAGCGACAGCAAGGCAGCTACCACCACTGTCCTGGCTCAGATGTCATGGTCAACCCTGGAGAAAAGAGTGTGTTGTGCCCTCCTCGAGCAAAGAGGAAGGCCCGATTTCCCCTTGGAGTGCCCTCCTGTGATCCAGCCTCTCCCCAGCCCCATCTCCCCCATTCCAGCAGTTAGCCCAGGGACTGGGGAGTCTTGGCAAAAGGGGAGCACCCAGTGTGGGCCTCTAAAGCTTGACCATCCCCTGTCGTTTGACCCCCACAGGCTTGGGTGGGATGAGCAGCAAGCGAATCACCATCAACAAGATCCTGTCCAACGAGAGCCTCGTGCAGGAGAACCTGTACTTCCAGGTGACGGCGGGGCAGGGGCGCAACTGGTGCCGGGGTGCAGGGCCAGAGGGTCCCTGGGAGGGATGAGGCTCATGCCCTCACATCCTTGGGGCTCCCATAGACAATGGCTAAGGGCTCAGGGACTCCTGACCCAGAGCACAGCAGCACAGGGACGAGCCTCCACCGCCATTCAGCCAGCCTCCTTGCTTTGCTCCTGGGCTAAAGTCCCAGGGTTCAAGGAGTGACAGAGGCAATGTGCAGAGACTAGAGGCACACAGGAGACCTGGGAAGAAAGGTGAACCAGGCGATGCCAAAGATCCACGCTCTCCACTGGACCAGAGCCCACAACGTGTGGGAAAAGCACGCCCCTTTAAAAGATGATCAAAGCTATAGACTTGCCCTCAGAAAAATGCTTATATGAACATATTCCCTGAATCTTGATCAGTTTCAGAAGATCACAGATCCCCACAGTTTTCTGTCTCTGCATGGACCCTCCCTTCTGAGTCCCTAAGCCTCAAAGATTACATCCAGAAGTGGAAACCGTCATATTTTATGAATTAAGTCTCTATGTATTTGCATGGGCATATTTAAGAGGACTAAGAAAAAAAACTTTAAAAGCAGAAAACAGCCAAGTGCAGTGGCTCATGCCTGTAATCCCAGGACTTTGGGAGGCCGAGGCAGGCGGATCCCCTGAGGTAGGAGTTCGAGACCAGCCTGACCAATATGGTGAAACCCCGTCTTAAAAAAAAAAAAAAAAATTTTAAAGAAAAGCGGAAAACAACTCAAACTGGTTTAAACAAAAAGGCATAATTTGCTCATGTAAGTAGAAAGTCGAGCAGTGATATGAATTTCAGGCACAGTTTGAGTAGGGCTCCAGCTCCATTTCTCTGCACTGAAGGTAGGAATGTGACTGCAACAGTTCAAGGCCTCACATGCACCCAGCACACCATCTACAAAGAGAGAGGGCTGTTTTGTTGTTCTTGTTTTGTTTTGGGTCTTTTTCATGTTGTTTTTGTTTGTTCATTTTTTGTTTTGTTTTCTTTTTTTTTTTTTTTGAGGCAGAGTTTCGCTCTTGTTACCCAGGCTGGAGTGCAATGGCGTGACCTCGGCTCACCGCAACCTCCGCCTCCTGGGTTCAGGCAATTCTCCTGCCTCAGCCTCCTAAGTAGCTGGGATTACAGGCACCCGCCGCCATGCCCAGCTAATTTTTAGTATTTTTAGTAGAGACGGGGTTTCACCATGTTGACCAGGATGGTCTCGATCTCTTGACCTCGTGATCCACCCGCCTCAGCCTCCCAAAGTGCTGGGATTACAGGCTTGAGCCACCGTGCCCGGCCTCTTTTCTTTTTTTTTAAAGACAGGGTTTCACCATGTTGGTCAGGCTGGTCTTGAACGCCTGTCCTCTGGCGATCAGCCCGCCTTGGCCTCCAAAGTGCTGGGATTACAGGTGTGAGCCACCACGTTCAGCCCTGTTTTTGGTTTTCTTACAGTCTCCTCTGCTGCCCAGGCTGGAGTACAGTGGAGCTATCTCAGCTCACTGCAACCTCCGTCTCCCGGGTTCAAGCAATTCTCCTGCCTCAGCCTCCTGAGTAGCTGACTACAGGTGCATGCCACCTTGCCCAGCTGATTTTTTGTATTTTTAGTAGAGACGGGTTTTCACCATGTCGGTCAGGCTGGTCTCAAACTCCTGACCTCGTGATCCACCTGCCTCAGCCTCCTAAAGTGCTGGGATGACAGGCATAAGCCACCACACTGAGCCAAGAGAGACGTCTTGTATGCCCCGACAATTGACCAAGAGCTTGCATTTTACTGATTAGGGCAACCTGAACCAATGTCTGTGGCCACAGGAATTCCATACGTTGTTTGGCTTGATCCTGGGCTACTGCCTGTCTCTGAGCCAATCACTGGAGCAGGGAGGTAGAGACGAGAATCCAATACTTAGCTTTCACCTGGAGGTGGAGGTGGGGCCAGTCCAACCCAGCAACATAGTGTGGCATGGCAAGAGGAAGTGGGTGGAGTGAGTGCTGGGGAAGCAACAGAAGGCCCACTGAAATTCACAGCACTTACTGTCTATTTAGAACTTGACTTGATTGACTGATTGATTTTTGAGATGGTGTCTCACTCTGTCACCCAGGCTGGAGTGCAGTGGCAGGATCTTGGCTCACTGCAACCTCCATCTCCCAGGTTCAAGCAATTCCCCTGCCTCAGCCTCCTGAGTAGCTGGGATTCCAGGCATGAGCCACCACACCCAGCTAATTTTTGTATTTTTAGTAGAGACGGGATTTCACCATGTTGGCCAGGCTGGTCTTGAACTCCTGACCTTGTGATCTGCCCACCTCGGCCCCCCAAAGTGCTGGGGTTGCTGGCATGAGCCACTGCGCCCAGCTGGATGTTAACTTTATTACAACTGTCCCCCCCCACCCCATGGTCATTTCTTGGCATCAGGTAGATTTGAAGCCAAATTGTGCCACCCCCTCACTTGGGGCATTAGGACCATGGGCACCTCACTAAGGCTGTCTTTGGGTCTCTCATCTCTAAAAAGGGGATAGTGGGGGTTGGACACAGTGTCTCATGCCTGTAATCTCAGTACTTTGGGAAGCCAAAGTGGGAGGATTGCTTAAGGCCAGGGGTTTGAGACTAGCCTGGGCAACATATTAAGACCTGTCTCTACAAAAAAATAAATAAATGAAAATTTTTTCCTTTTGATTTGGGTAGAAGAAAGGAAAAAAGAAAAATTTTAAAAAGAAAAAATTTAAAGGGGATAATAATAGCATCTATATCACAGGGCTGGAGCTTAAATAAGTAATCTACGTAATGCACTTGGAACAGTACCAGACACATGTACACGTTAGCTTTTGTTATTGCCAAAGTCATCAGTGTTATCCTCAGCTCATGAGGTGGCCCGAGGGGTCACTGAGGTGCTGTGTGGGAAGCAGTTAGCACAGGGACCCCCTCTAGAGAGTGCTCGGTAAATGGCAGCCTGTACTCTGACGTCTGTGACCTTCCTCTGCCCTGTTATTGTGACTGTTCTTCCTGAACCCCAGTGGACAGGGCTGGGGAGAGGCTCCAGAGGCACCCGCTGAGTGTTAGAGGTCTCTCTGGAATGCCAGGGCCCCTGGCCTGGTGCTGCAGACGGGTGGAATGACAAAGTGTCAGGTGTGTGTCCCTCACCCGCATGCCCTCCCTCCCTTCTCCTACCTAGCGCTGCCTGGACTGGAACCGTGACATCCTCAAGAAGGAGCTGGGACTGACAGAACAGGACATCATTGACCTGCCTGCTCTGTTCAAAATGGATGAGGACCACCGTGCCAGAGCCTTCTTCCCAAACATGGTGAGGCCCTGCAGACCCCAACCCTCGCCTCATGCCAGTACGGGGCAGCCAGATCCAGAATGACCCCTCAGCTGAGGCTATCCAATGGGGAGGCCCAGGTCTCAATCTGGCTGAGCTGCTCTGTGACCTCACCTCAGGCACTTACCCTCTCTGAGCCTCCATTTCCTCCTAAGGGTGATATGCTTGTCCTAGCTGCTTCACTGGGATATTGGGAACCCTTTTCCTTAACAGATAGGAAAGTGCTGTGCAAAAGATTAAAAGTCCTTTATGTACAGGAGGGATTCCTGTTACATAGAGGTGAGTCTTCCATAACATAGAAAGAGGTTACAACAATACACATGTGTACATGGACACAGATATACACATACCTGTGCAAAGAAACATGTGCACTCATGGACACATATAGACACACACGCACACAGAAACACGTGCACTCATGGACACATATATACACATGCACACAGACACACGTGCACGCATGGACACATATAGACACACATGCACACAGAAACACACGTGCACTCATGGACACATATACACATGCACACAGAAACACCTGTGCACTCATGGACACATATACACATGCACACAGAAACGTGCACTCATGGACACATATATACACACATGCACACAGAAACACGTGCACTCATGGACACATATATACATATGCCAACAGAAACACGTGCACTCATGGACACATAGACACACATGCACACAGAAACACATGTGCACTCATGGACACACGTAGACACACATGCACACAGAAACACGTGCACGCGTGGACACATATAGACACATGCACACAGAAACACGTGCACTCATGGACACATATATACACATGCACACAGAAACACATGCACTCATGGACACATATAGACATACATGCACACAGAAACACGTGCACTCATGGACACATATAGACACACATGCACACAGAAACACATGTGCACTCATGGACACATATAGACATACATGCACACAGAAACACGTGCACTCATGGACACATATATACACATGCACACAGAAACATGTGCATGCATGGACACATATACATATATGCACACAGAAACACATGTGCATGCATGGACACATATATACACATGCACACAGAAACACGTGCACACATGGACACATATATACACACATGCACACAGAAACGTGCATGCATGGACACATACACACATGCACACAGGAACACATGTGCATGCATGAATATATAAACACATGCACACGGAAACACGTGCACACATGGACATATATACACACACAGAAACATGTGCACTCATGGACACATACACAGGAACACAGAAACATGTGCATGCATGGACATATATACACACATGCACACACAGAAATGTGCACACATGGGCATGTATACATGTGCACACAGAAACACGTGCACACATGGACACATATATACACACATGCACACAGAAATACATGCATGCATGGACATATACACACATGCACACAGAAACACGTGCAGGCATGGACATATATACATGTGTGCACACACAGAAACACACATCACTCAGACATATATACACACATGCACACAGAAACATGTGCATGCATGGACACATATACACACAGGCACACAGAAACACGTGCACACATGTACATATATACACCCGTGCACACACAGAAACACACTTGCATGCATGGACACATATACACACAGGCACACAGAAACACGTGCATGCATGGACATATATACACCCATGCACACACACAAACACACTTGCATGCATGGACACATATATACACACACACAGATACTCGTGCATGCACAAATGCATACATATCATACGTGTGTGCACATTCACACATATGTACATGTACACACTGATAAATGCACACAGCCGTGTATACATACATGTACAGACATATGCAAATGCTTTTGCACACACATACATACAGAGGCAGATTGCCTGGTTTTCTGCCTTAGCTCTGCCATTTGTGAGTGACTTAGCCCTGCTCCGTGTCTATCCAGTCACCGTTCCTACTTCACAGGGTTGCTGTGAGGGTTCAATGAGCTTAGGACAGGCATGTGTGTAGTAAATGCTCACTAAGTGGAAGCTGTTGCCACCACAATCCACCTTCACAGGTGAACATGATCGTGCTGGACAAGGACCTAGGCATCCCCAAGCCATTCGGGCCGCACGTGGAGGAGGAGTGCTGCCTGGAGGTGCACGTGCGCGGCCTCCTGGAGCCCCTGGGCCTCGAGTGCACCTTCATTGACGACATTTCTGCCTACCACAAGTTTCTGGGGGAAGTCCACTGCGGCACCAACGTCCGCAGGAAGCCCTTCGCCTTCAAGTGGTGGCACATGGTGCCCTGACCTGCCGGGATCCCTGGTGTTTGCCTCCTTCCCTGAGTTCTCCAGACCCCTCACGCACCCAGAGCCTTCTGCTGCCATAGACTGGACAGCCCCGCTGGGAGACCTTTGGGATGTGGGGTGGGATTTGGGGTATCTGTGCCTTGCCCTTCCCGAGAAGGGCCTCAATGGTCATCTGAAGCCATCCTCAGTGAGCCTCGACTCTGTCCCTGCTGAAAATAGCTGGGCCAGTGTCTCTAGAGCCCCGACACAGGAACAAAATGAAACACAGCAAACCATATGCCCAAATCGTTCCCCCAAGAATTTTTAGTCTCTAGTCCAACACCACTGAATGAGGGGAGAAGGGAAGGAGATTCTGGGATCGCCAGTTCTTCCAGCAGCCATGCTCTGAAAATCAAGGTAAAACCCAGGAAAAGGGACCCCAGGATCCCAGACGTATCTTGAACTGCCATCGTCATTTCAAAGCCACCTCCCTCAGGGCCTCCAGGTGGCCACCCCCAATTATTCATTCCTTACCAACCTCTCAAATCCTCTCGGCTTCCTCTCTGCAGTGTGGACACTGTTGGCTAGCCCTCCCCACTCCCTGAGGGTCCAGTAAGTTAGTTTAGAACCTTCCTGGAAACATTTCACCTGAGCAGGCTTCCCCACGCATGGGATGCTCCTCTTGCCTCGTCTGTCTCATGGATGCAGTCTCCCCTAGATGCATGAGGTTGCTTCCCAGAACAGCATACTTGCGGCATGAGAGTTCAACGTGTAAAGATGCCCCTGGTCAGCCACATCCATCTTCTCTTGCCTGGCCCTTGATTCTCTGGCCAGTCCCTGACCTTCCTCCTCTCACTGCCTCGGCCTTCTTCCTTTTTATTCCTGATGCCATCTGTCCAGGCAGCTAGGCAAGAACTTGTTCACCAGCAACCAGATTCAGGCCTTCCCAGGGCATCATAAATGACATCAGATCCAATATGTAAGGACCCTGGTCTACCCTCCGGCCCAGCAGCCAGTTCTGGGTCAGCTGCCAGCTTAGGGATGGTTTGATTATCCCATTGAAATTCACCAGTGCATTTGCCAAAGACCCTCTCATTTGGACATACCCAGATTCATTCCCTGGCTTCAACTAAAAGACACAGCTTCAATCTTTAAAAGTTTCTTTAGGGCCAGAAGAATTAGTGAATTATAATCACATTGTGAAGAACCAATTTACAACCAATGAACAGGTTATAATATAATTTACATTCTTGGAGGAACAAGATTTTCATCTGGGATTATTTCATTCAACCACTCAACAAACATTTGTTGTGTGCCCCTAAACAACAGGCATGGTGTTAGGCTCTGCAAACACAGTGGTTAGTAGCAATCTGGACCTGATCCCTACTAGCATGGAACCCATCAGTCCCCGACATGCAAAGCCCGCATTTAAAGGCCAGCTTCTGCCCCTTCAGTGATGCTCTCTTTAGAAATGCCAGTCTAGGACAGGCGTGGTGGCTCATGCCTGTAATCCAGCACTTTGGGAGGCCAAAGTGGGCAGATCACAAGGTCAGGGGTTCAAGACCAGACTGGCCAACATGGTGAAACCCCATCTCTGCTAAAAATACAAAAATTAGCAGGGCATGGTGGTGGGTGCCTGTAATCCCCGCTACTCGGGAGGCTGAGGCAGCAGAATCACTTTAACCTGGGAGGCAGAGGTTGCAATGAACTGAGATTGCACCACTGCACTCCAGCCTGGCAACAGAGTGAGATTCCGTCTCAAAAAAAAAAAAAAAAAAAAAAAAAGAAATGCCAGTTCACTATATTCAGAAATCCACAGGGCACAAAACTTTCAGCAAGTCACTGTCTTGGTGAAATGGGAGGTGGGGGAGTCTTCTTTAAACAGGCCCCCTTCCCATCTAGCTGGGCAGTACCACCCATCCAATGAGTCCCCAGAGCCTCTAGAAGCTGCTGTCCGCTCTCTGGGGACAGACAGCAGCTCCTCCCTTTGGAGGCCAAAGCCCCAGATCGCTCCAATCCCAGAGCTGAAAACATCAAGTGCCTTTTTGAGGGTGTCTATCTGGAGACCTAGAGTTTGTCATGTGTGTGTGTTTGGTTAATGTGGGTTTATGGGCTTTCTTTCATTTTTTTTTTCTAGTCTATATTAGAGGAAAATGAGCACCTCCCACGTGCAGAAAGCGTGTCTTTATAGATTTTTCTAAGGCTTTCCCCAATGATATCGGTAATTTCTGATGTTTCTGAAGCTCCTAGGACTCACACACCCATTCCCGTCTCCCTTGTCCACCCAGTGTGACAGTCTTCGGTGTGGACGTACCCCCGTGGACTCATGGCTCTTCCCCACCCCCCTTTCTATAAATGTAGGCCTAGAATGTGCTTCTCTTGCAAAACTCAGCCAAGTTCCTGTTTCCATCTTGATGTTGAAATATCTTACGTAAGAGGGCAGGGGATGTTGTGAATGTGGCAAGAAGAACACAGTTTCAAATTTCTGGAGAAGAGGCTGTGGTGGAGATCTAAAGATGTTTAGGGAAGAGCTCGACTAAAGAACAATAAAATAAATGGTCCAAGGGGAAGTCACGTGGCTGTTGGTGTGATGTTCTTTACTGCTTCATAGACAAGGCCTGGAGTGAGGCAAGCCACACACTGGGCCCTCCTAGTCCTGCAGCCCCTGCTGTTCTTGGCACAGGGTCTGGGCTGTCAGCATAGGGATCTCGAGAGTTCGGAATCACCCACGCATTCAGTGGCTGCATATTACATGGCCATCACCCAAGGTCAAGACCGGTACCCTCAATAAAGCCTATGTTGTTCTGTTGGGGTTCCCCAGAGGCAGACCCTGAGATGGGCACTTGGGAACAAGTAATTTATTAAGAAAGAGCCAGGTGAAGTAGCTCATGCCTGTAACCTCAACATTTTGGGAGGCCAAGGTGGGAGGATCACTTGAGCCCAGGAGTTTCATACCAGCTTAGGCAACATAGTGAGATCCCATCTCTATAAAAATTTTTTTGAAAAATTAGCTGGGTGTGGTGGCACATGCCTGTAGTCCCAGCTACTCAGGAGGCTGAGGGAAGAGAATCGATTGAGCCTAGGGCATGGAGGCTGCAGTGAGCCAAGATCGTGCCACTGCACTACACTCCAACCCACATGACAGAGCAAGACTCTGTCTCAAAAAAAAAAAAAAAAAGAGCCTCCAAGAGAAACCAAGATGGGAGCTGGGGGAGCAGGCCAGGGAAGTGGAAGAAACCATACAAAGGTGTGAGGTGAAGCCTAGACCAATCCCTAGAGAACTCTGGAGCATAAATGGCACCTCTGAGCTGTTCTGTCTGAAGGCTGAGTCTTTGTCCACCTACACCAGTCATTGGCTCTGGGGACTGTGGCCCTCTGGGCAAGAGGTACCAGGAGCTCACAGGCAACCATCTAAAGATCACAATTGGGATTAGAAACAAAGTCACAAGCTGGGGAATGGGCTGCCACAACCAGAAGAGGGCACCAGCCATGTCTGCTGCTCTGGATGATGTCATGTTTTTTTAATAAAAAGTTATTACACACAAATATTTGTGATTTGACCCATGGTATGAAAATCCATACAACATAACCATGATCTAACAGGGTCTTTGTGAATGAACTCCTGAAGCCCTAAAATGGAGCCGCCTGATCAACTGCTGAGTCTAGAAGCTGCTTCCAAGTTCTTTGGAAGACACCTGGGTCCCTTCTCACTCCTTAGTCCCATCTTGGGCTTCTGGACCAATGTCTTGGTGTCACTATTTTAAGGGGCCACTGCAAAATAAAAATCACTGGTTGATTGACTCCCAGGCTTAACCCAGGGGCCCAGCCCTCTGAAATCCCCTTTTATACCCAACTAATGTGGCCCAAGCCACTGCAAGACCAATCTTTCTTAGGTTTCCTGACCCACCTAGTGTAAGGCTGATTGCCTCCCCGGGAGTTCGGACACACCCATCTCCCTCCCTGCTTGAAAATTTACATTATGTCAATCATCTAGCTCCGCCTTGGAAATCCCCTCTGCACTCAGCACCTAGCCCACCTTGGAAATCTCCTCTGCACTCAGCACTTAGCCTGCTCACCGGAAGTCCCACCTACCTACCAATAGCAGCGCTGGCTGTCCACATCCTGTTTCTCCAAATCCAATCAAACGGCTTCACTCCCTATAAAACCCCACTCCTGAGAGGAATCAGCTGCAACTTCCCTGGCCCTTCTCCCCGGGAACACGGAACCTCACCCGGGAGCTGAATAAATTGGCATCTAATTTTCTTGTGCTGGCCTCAGTTTCCTCGTTTTTAACTTGGCAATGAACCTACAGAGAGTAAACTTTACACTAGTTCTGCAACTCCCCAAGTGATGCTGGTATGTTCAACAAGTTCATCCCGGTGGTGTTTTCACATCTTTGCCAATCACCCACCTCAGTGTCGCTGAGTGTCACATCGAGACTTTTGAACAGCACTTTCCAATAGAAATATAGTAATGCAAGCTACATACTGTAATTTTGAATTCCCTAGTAGCCACATTTAAAAAGTAAAATGCAGGTGAAATTATTTTTTTTTTCTTTGAGATGGAATTTCGCTCTTGTTACCCAGGCTGGAGTGCAATGGCGCAGTCTCGGCTCACCGCAACCTCCGCCTCCTGGGTTCAGGCAATTCTCCTGCCTCAGCCTCCTGAGTAGCTGGGATTAAGCCACCATGCTCAGCTAATTTTTTGTATTTTTAGTAGAGACAGGGTTTCACTATGTTGACCAGGATGGTCTCGATCTCTTGACCTCGTAATCCACTCGCCTCAGCCTCCCAAAGTGCTGGGATTACAGGCTTGAGCCACCGCGTCCCGCAAAATTACTTTTAATAATATATTTTCTTTAGCCCAATCTATCCAAATCATTATTATTTCAACATGTAACCCAAATGCTAAAATTTTAATGAGATACTTTACATTCTCATTTTTTGTAATAAGTCTTTGAAATCTAATGTGTATTTTATACTTATATCACATATCTATTCAGACTAGCCACATTTTAAGTGCTCAATCCACAGGTGGCTACCATATTGGAAGATATTGTTCTAGAATCTTCTCTGCCAGGCTGAGCACCAATTGTGGAAATAGGTGCATTCCTTAAACCCCCAGAGTCCAGCTAGTTTGGCTGTAATGGTTAATAAAAGTTTATTACTATAATATTTAGAAATGTAAAATACATACAAGCCATCACTGGCCCTGGTATGCAGACCCTTGCCCTTCCAAAAGGTCCTCTTGCCTGAACCATGGCTGCTGCCAAGTTACCAGGACTCCCCGCCGCCTGCAAGGTGAGTGCCCTCTGCCCACTGTCGAGATAGGAACCCCTTGCCAGGTCCCCTCTTTCCCCTCACTGTTCTGTGGATACAACTTGATTCTACATTTAATCTAAAATGCGTACTTGGAGTCCCAGGTGAGAGTAGCTCATTATCTCAGAGTCTTCCAGCATTCCAGATGGGATCTGAGCCACACCTTGGCATAGCCAAAACCCCGTGGAAGTGGTTGGGGGGAGGTCTCTCCCCCTGAAACAAAAAGCAGCCGGGAATGAATCTGCCTCTCCGGTGAGATTCATGCAGGATCCTCTCCCAAGCGGTATCAGGTCCAAGAGGCTGACGGAAAAGTTATTAGTAACTAAATATAGTGAGTGACACCAAATGGCAGCATGGGGGATCCCTTCTCCACCTGGGCATACAGAAAAAGGATGCACTGAGACAGAAAGCCCAGCTCTGCAGCCTTGTTTCAAGTCTGGCTGATGTGAGAGACCTTCATCCCAGTCCCGGGGCTCTTTCCCAGCCTCGATCTTTGAAAAAGCAAAGGTCTTCTCTGGGTAGTTTCTAAGCAAACTGGCTTGGCCTCAACCCCTCACCTTCCACAAGCAAAGGTCTGCTTTCTGATAGCACTGATTATACCCAACAGTCTCTGACCAGCATGCTAAGGCTCCATGCACAGGCTGCTGTGCTACTGAAGAGCTGAAGAGATACATTCAATCTTTAAAAGTAACGATTCGTTTTCCAGCCCGGTGTGGTGGCTCACACCTGTAATCCCAGCACTTTGGGAGGCCAAGGCAGGCAGATCACCTAAGGTCAGGAATTCGAGACCAGCCTGGCCAACACGGTGAAACCCCATCTCTACTAAAATACAAAAAGTAGCCGCATGTGGTAGCTCATGCCTGTAATCCCAGCTA